AGTGGAAGGGTATTTCTTGAGGGAAATTGGATTAGAAGTGGTCTTAATGACCGGAGAGCGTGACCGCAGTGCCCAAGGGACAACTGCTTGAGGTCGATCACACACGACCTTTTTATGGGTGATTTTTGTGTTAGCTCCGTATTTGTCGGAACGTTACAACGGAGACGGGTCGACCATTTCTAACCCCACCCCTCCTTGTGGGAAGCCAGCATCGCTGTTATGCTGGTTGTCTGAAGGGAACACCTTACTGCTGTCACACCTCTGTACATTGAGCAGTACGACTTTGCCTTCGGACCTTGGGATTGGTACTGTTAGTCTTACAGCTCTTCAACCGACCTGGCTGGTATGGTAGGACCTTGAGGAACGATTGTTCCAGCTAGTATAGCTCGATTGGTTCATCGCGATAGGCAAGCCAGACCACTACGTCAAGGTAGCAACGGTCGTACCCATTGGTTGAGAGACACTAGGTGTCATGGCTCAGAATCGATCACAATGGCGCAGGTGTATACACTCTTTATCTTCCCTCTAACCTTGAGATTAAAGTCGCTTCATATCTGTCTTCCTTCCTATACTATATCCTTATATACAATCTTTCTTTTATATATTTCCACCACTAAATTAACTACTTCTATGAATTCAGTGTTGATCTTGTTGTGCTAATAAGGTATGGCAACTTGGACTGATGCATATATGTGCCTAGTCCAAATTTGTAACTGACTGACTCATGCAAAATGCTGTTTAACCAAATGGATGGATGAATTTCTCACCAAAATCGAAGACGTGATATCTTATACTTGATTGGCTCGTTCATAAATTGTAGTCTCTTAGATCATACCATGAACTCATTGACTGTTGATCTGAGGCTTGTTAGTAGATGCGGACTATCTAGCTGAGGTTGAAACGATTATTGTATTCAATGGTCGCAGATGCTGAATGACATGACTTGGCATTGGTCACAGTGACTCAGTTACCACCATTATTTATCGTTTATTAGATCTCGAATTTTTAAGTAAACTTATCGTTTTTATTCTGAAAATTTATTACCCCTCTTCATACCATATTATCTCCGCCCAATCTTTTCTCTTACCACGGCGTTTTTCAGTACGCTTACGTTTGTCTATATCTCTATGATGATGTGGTTTAGTGGCATACATGTTTAGTGATATACATGTGATAAGCTCTACATTGCATATGAGTGTTTGACTGAGTAAGGAGACTTATTTCCAGTCTCTGTTATAAAAACCACTACATAATATTTTGGTATAATTGTATTCTATAACAAATACTGTGAGATTTGATAGCTTTGCTTTTTTTGGTTAGGTTAATTGACTTTTAGCTAGTAAACCACATGTTCAAACTTTAAATCATCTATCTGTGTGGGGTTGTAGAGAACGTTAGATTTTATTGAAATCAAGAGCCGATCTAACTTAGACAACCATTGAAGACTAGAAAGCACTGGAAAACCCCTCAGTAGTGACCATCCAGGACCCAAATAAAGATGATCAAACCAATAACCTTCGATCTTCTGCGTGAACACTTAACGTTTAGACCTTTGAGTAGGCATTCAACGGTGTTAATGTTTGATATAAATCAATCCACGATATCGAGCGATTATCTTCCACTATCTTCTAATGATATATTCCTCACACTGGATACGGTTGAACCCCACAGGTCACAGCTTGTTACTGGGACTCTGGAAATTTTCTCTTAAAGCTGGTCATAAGTTCAACTACTTAGATTTTTTCACACACAAATTATCATTAGCCGTCTAACTCAAATAATGTGACTCACAGCCGAGTAAGTAAATCTGTTCTCGGTAAAATGTCACGTCATCATCACAGATGTTCTGGTAAACTTGGTTTTAGATCTTAAGATCTGATTGTCTAAATTTCTGAGCTATCACTGATATTTTTGAAAACATCATTATATACTTTTGAGCATAAGTAGACCTTTTGAATGTATTCCATAAACGCCAACTTGGTCTGTTCTAATAAAACTGACTGTATTAGTCTTTTATCCAATATAAATGTTAGGAAACGATGGAGGAAAAACGCCAACATTGTGCACAAAACAAATTCCACTATCTGTGAGAGATGTTACATAGAACAAGGTGAACAACCACTTCATCTACACATAAATAAGCAATACATCTTCAAAGCATATTCGGTTATAACTAGCGTTCTTATGAGGTGTTGGCTGAACGACAGGAAACTTTGAGCCTTGGTTCCGTAATACTTGCACTTATCGATAAGGTGTCCTAATAGCCTTGAGAAGAGTAATGCTACACATCTCATTGGCCATTTAAAAACGTTTCGTAACTATCTAGGTGTCATTTGCCATGGATTTATCTAAGTTGAGATGTCGCTGAACATTAAGAAAAATTGAACAGTTACTTCTGCATCGTCAGAAAATCTCCAGAAGTTCACACTCAAGACCCCTCCAGGGATCTATCATAGGCACTCAGGTTTGGCGCAGAACGATTAAAAATTTGATTGACTTGGTCGGCATATAGTAGTACAATTTCAACCTTGATGATTTGAAGATATAGTGCAATGATCATCCGGTCCAACTAATCACAACTGTTTCACTCCCAGCATGACTAATTTTCAACAGTCGCAATTTCTAATTAGAATTTTAGGAACATTTCAATGTAAACCAATACGAGATGATTAGTTTCGCTTAGTTAAAAAGGTGTTTTGGGAAATGATTTGAGTTATGAGTCGAATTTGTCAGAAACCGACCTCATTTGAAGCACCACTGAAAATCAGGGAACGCCCGGCAACTGTTTAGTCATGAGACCAGTTTTTTAGGAATACAATCTACAAAATAATATGATCACTAAAAAATTCTCTTTGTTCCTATCAATTTAAATTTCGTTATAATCATGAATCGATCAATATCATACCCTCATTGAAAACTTGGAAGCACTAGATGGCCATCTAGTCCCATTTGGAGACTTCCTTACAATGAGCATCCACAATTCCGTACGCAGAAACCGAACTTAGGACTTTCGGTTTCACGCTTAACAATTAGACCAACGATGTTAATGTCTAACTTCAACTGATCAACGATATTGTGCAACCATTTTTCATTGTCTTCAGTAGGTAATTGCCTTACAGCAGACATGGTTGAACTCCACTAATCAAGGCTTTCCACCAGAAATTGGATTCACGCTGCTAAGATGTAACACACGAAGACGAAACGGTTATCCACTGCTTTCAGGTTTTCATTGATATTCTAGCATCGATCGATTCATGATTTTAATCATCTTTATAAACTCATACTGAAATTTTTTTATTTCACTTATCAAGTAGTAACTTCAGATCGTGTTAAATAGATTTTTCATTACTATCAGAAAGGGTTTTGTGGATAATATATTAGTTTTAATACTATTAAAATTATTATAATATCCACAACCAGATTTGTTGTGAGATAGTAACTCACTGAAGACAATGGTGGATGTGTCGCTCAATTTTGTAGATCGGTTGACGTTAGACATTAACACCGTTGGATGTTCACCATCTCAGTGATCTAAAGATTAAGCACTCGCGCGCAACACTGATAGGTCTTACGTTCAAACCTAGCGAGGTAGGATTGTGGATGCGCACTGGTGAGGAGTCCCACAATAGGACAAAACGGCCATCTAGTGCTTCAAGGTTTTCCATGGTAGTCTAGCTTCAAGTAATTCATAATTTTAACTATTAAGATTTTTCATTGTTAATTACTAGAAAAAGAAAATTCAAGTAAATGACTAGAATTGTGGAATTTAACCTAATTTACGGAACTGGATGATTACCAAATTAAAAGGGAGAAATAGGTATTTGTTTTCTTCTTTTTCATTTTCACTTTTAATTCACTAATCAATAAAAAACAAGGAAAACAACAAAGTATACTGTGTTTAAACATACTTTTAATAGGAAACATCATTCTATTGCTTTCTTTTTCTCTTTCTTGATTCTTACAAAGAAATTGGACAGTTATCATTTATTAGATTGGTTAAAGTAAGACATTAACATCGTTGGCCTCCAAATACTCTGGTACGGACGAGAGTGGGAAGAGTTCGCACTCCATCAAGAAATGCTCTCACTTGGACACACGTATATAGCATCTGCCTTCTGGCACCGCAGGTGTTGTTTACGAAATTGTGGGGATGAAAAACGAATGTCCGGCGCTTTAACCGGGTTGGTGGGCACTACACTTCCAACTAGGTGAGTTGGAAAACCTTGATTCCAAACCAATGGTGCACATGGGCTGGCTCCAGTATCCTGAGGGAACAAATGTCGTATGAATCATTCGTTGGTCACCGGCTACCATGGGACTGTATCTCCTTACGACGCTCCACTACCTTGTGGATCAAACCTTTAGGTCAAAGGCTTTAGGTGTTACCCTCTGAGAAAACCACATGCTTCGGTTCGGGCACCTGGACAGTATCGCAGCCCTCACACAAATCAAATGAGATTTGTGTGGCACATATATATCTGGTGCCTTTTTGTACCAATATTTATGTGTTTAAATAATTAATAATAATTAATTAACACCATTGGATGCTGGCCGGTTCAGTAGTCTAGAGCTTAAACTCTCGCACGTGAAACTTATAGGTCTTCGGTTCGAATCTCACGAGGTGAGATCGTGAATATGCATTAATGAGGAGTTCCACAATAGGACGAAACGGCCATTCAGCGCTCCCAGTGACCATTTCGTCCTAAATTGTGGACTACATTCATGGTAGATATATATTTATATAAATATTTAGTCTCGGCCAATCATTATCTGATGACCTTGTCATATTTTTATAACTCGATATATATTAGTCATAAGATTGGAATGTGTCTATAGAACAAGTATATATATATATATATATAACGAATAGATAGACAGACAGGTTAAAAGATAGATTGATAAACTTATCAACTTTAATTTGATTGGTTATTTCAAAAAAAAATTTTTTTTATTTTTAAAAATTGTTGACTGACCCTTTTTGTTATTAATGTGATGAACCGGTTCATTATTTTTTTCTTTTTCTTCTTTTTCTCTTTCGCTCTTTATTACATCATAATGGAATGGAGTTAGTTACATCATCAATTAACAAAATATGAATAATAAAACATTTTTGGAATTTATCACTGAGTGTAAAACTCTCTCCCCCACCCCCCCAAGAAAAACACAATGAATAGTTGCTAAGATATTGAAAAAACATAAAGTCTTCGTCGTCGGTTAGAAGCAAAGACGGAACAAAGGAAACATAGAATCTATTACCTCTATTCGGTATAAACGTGAATGAAATTATGATTTCATTGATTCATATTGGAGAAAATTTATTATCATTCATTTTATTCATTCAATTCTATGGAACTTATGGTGAAATTGAAATATCACAGAATCATCAACATGTTAATATTACATCTATTCATACTACTAATAATGATACATTATGGTCTATTCAAAGATTGAATCCAAAAGATGATCATCATCCTATTAACCATGAACAATGGCATTTTCATTTTGATATGTTTATTATTATCTTTTTAGCATTCAGTTCATTTTGTACAAATATTGGTTTATTATATTTAGATCGACGTGCTAAACCATCAATTCCAACAAATAATTCAAGTTTTTCTAATCATTTCATAACTATTACCACTACTAATACTACTAATAACAATACTACTAGTAGTAATAACCTTCCTATGCATAATAATACTAATAATCTACAATGTCTATCATTCAATTCTCTGTTGAAGAAATGGTCGAATAAAAGAAATTCTCATAGATATAATGGTTTACTATCTAATCAATCAACCATAGTAACAATACCGAATGAAACTATAAACAGAACAACCAAACCAACCAGCACCACCACCACCACCACAACAACAACACGTTCTTTCTCTTTATCAAGTCCTCCATTAAATAAATATCCATCATCCATTAGTTTGATCAAATTAAACCAAACCAATCAATTCTATCATCATCATCATCATCATGGATCCATACAATATCATACACCACGTGGTCGACGACAACGTCGTTATTTAAGAGGTTTATTTGGTTTATCTATAAGTAATTTAAGTTTATCATTATGTTTATTAAGTTGGTGTATATGTCAAATGATTATGTATAATATTGATAAACAGAAATATTATATATTAAATGTATGGTTAACTATTATAGCATTTATTAATTTATGGACAATAGATATTGCACAAACATTAGAAATTGGTGCTATTTTATGGATTGCATTAGAACGTACACTTGGGATACATTGGCCTAGTGAAATACAAACCATAAATAATAATAATAATAATAATAATAATAATAATAATAGTACAGGGAATAAAACAACTTGTAACCATGGTAACAACATCGTTACCAACACTTCAATGAAATCTAATCCACCCCAATATAAATTTAAATTTTTTAAAAATAGAATCAAAAATTATTTCAATTATGATGATATAATATGTAATCAATTTAATAAAATGAAAAAAAATCAATCATCAATTAATTCAAATAAAAAAATCAATCATGAAAAATATAAAATTTTTTTATGGTTTTTACGTGTTTTATTATGTTTATTACCATTTATATTATTTATATTAGCATCATTATATAGTTTAAATAATATTATACAATATATTAAAAAACATAAATTATTATTATATAATAATCAATATAATCTGATTGATATTAATATTGAACAGTTACCATGGCAACAACAACAACGACAGCAACAACCACCACCACCACCACAACAACAACAAATGGATATGATTACAAATTTTGAAACTACTTATATTATACATAATAATAGTAGTATAAATGATAGTTATATAAAATATTTTAATTCATTAATAGTATATAATTATTATTATTATACATATATTACTAATCATAATAATTTTATAAAAAAACATATATCATTATTACATAATATACATATGAAATATCAAATCTATATGTATTATACTAGTTCTATTATACCAGCATTAATTATTGGACAATTTATAGCACCATTAATGATATTAATCACAACAAATTTATTGATTTATCAAAAAGTAAGTGTGTGTGTGTGTGTGTAAATCTTATGTTTATAATGTTCTTTAATGAATTGTTTTTTTTTTCTTTCAAATTAATTGTAAGTCAAGTGTTGAGATATGATGTTAGGTGGTTGGAGGTGATCAACAGGGAGTCCTGGATATGGGGTTTTGTGTTACTTGGCACTCGTCAGCAAGGTGTACCTGTAATGATGAAGGAACTGATAGTCCCTGATGGATTTGATCCTGTGTCACCCAGCTTCACAATTAGAGAAGTTACCATTGAGCTATCCGGGTCGCAACCGATCTCCTATAGGACTGAGATGTAATCACAATTGACTGATCACTGGGTGGTGGTGGTGGTGCATGCAGTGTTGAGTCATCTAGACTAGTGGTCACGTTGATCGATAGCATTCAATCTTCACTAAGAAGGACTTGACACACATGACATTAATCACCACATAGTGTAAGAGAACACAGGTGAGGATAATCGATTATGTATTTAGCACAAATTACAAAGTTGCTTCGTAAAATAGAGTAGTTCTACACGTTTCAGCTCCATACAGTATGACTGTCTTGACGTTCGTATTAAAAATTCTGACCTTGAAATTAGTTGAGAGTTGTTTTGAGTTCCATATGTTCTACAACTGTAGAAATGCTGGCCTTGCTTTGTCAATCCTCGCCTTTACATCTGCGTTCGATCATCCTTGTTTATCAACGATGCTCCCCAGATACTTGAATGTTTCCGCCTCTTCCAGAGTTTCGCCATCAAGTGTGATTGGGTTGGTGTTCTCCGTGTTGCATTTGAGAATCGTGCTTTTTTCTTTGTGAATGTGGAGGCTTATCGATGCAGAGGCTGCTGCTACATTTGCTGTCTTCATCTGCATTTGTTCGTGTGTATTTTCACACTAATTGCTTTCTGTTTCTATTCTTCCCTTGTCGATCTTCTAAATCTTTTGCTTCCAGATATTCCATTCCTGCCTCACGAGACATTCTACTTATGTCAATATAAGTAGCCCACACTACAATATTATCTTAAGTACATTTATTCTGTACGTCCTTGAATTATCCGTCAAAACATTTTATTCTTTCATTTGAGATATTGACTAATTCTTCATAAATCATATCATATATGTCTAATTATAATCACTATCACTGATATTACATCTACCACTCTAAGATATACCTTGATAATTTCACCTCCTTCTGGTCGCTGATACTATGTGACAACTATACAAGTGAACCGATTCTTATTTTGGTTAATGATTAACTAACTAAAACTAAATTTATACGAGTTTTACCATAATGAGGGTTTGTGGAGACTGTGGCCAGACTATAATTTATGAAGGAATCAATCACATTTAGGGTAACTGATCTTGGATTTTGGTGCAAAATTCATTCATCCATTTGCTTAAAGAACATTTTAGCTCATATTATTTGATGATGAAAACAGTAAATCTAATTCATAACCTTAACTGTCAACTGCACATCATAATTCACTTTATCCACACAGATTTATAACTTTCATTTAGCTGTAGTAATTAGGTGGACATTCTCAAGGTTACCAAGGTGTTGTCGCTCAAATGTCGTCCATAAATTTTAGTCTTACCGGGATTGTAGTAATTAAATAGTTGAATTCGTGGGTCAATTAAAACTAGACCATCACAGAAAACCTGGAAACACTGGATGACCGTTTCGTCCCTGTTCGGGAGTCGTCATCATTGTGCATCCACACACAGGACTCAAACTCAAGACCTTAAGTTTCTCACGTGAACGCTTATCCACCGGAGTTCAACCGTGTCCGTTGTGAAACAGTTACTCACTGAAGGCAATAGTCGACAAAGACGCAATTTCGCGAATTGGTTGAAAGTAGACATTAACACCATTGGATACCTACTCAATGGTCTAGAGGTTGAGTGTTCTCACGTGAGACCGAATATTCTGGGTTCGAGTCTTTTTACGTGGGAACGTAAATGTACACCGCTGAAGAGTCTTGTACCAGGACGAAACGGCCGTCCAATGCTTCAAGGTTTTCCATGGTAGTCTAGTTTTAATCGATTCATAAATTCAATTATTAAGTTTACACGATTTATAAAATCTAATATTTTACAAATGGAAATTGAATACTTAAATACTAAAAATATAGTATCCACATATAAAGTTATGATTTGGCAAGCTAGACATTTTTAAAGTTTTAACCAAGTATTTTGTGTGGTTTTTAGTTATAAATGATAAGCTCGTTAAAAAAAAACTATAAGTTAAACCCATTTTACACTGGTTGTTCACTGACTGCTAACTGATTTGATATTTAAATTATAAATAGTAAGGACTTAACTGATCTCTTCTGAATATTTAAATCCAATGTGGGTTGCCTTTAGGTAACCGTTTTGTTACAAACGTTTTGAGGTAAATTGGTTATGATTTGTTGTGGAACTTGACTTGATATTGTTAATATCATGTTTTAATAATTTCAAATAAATTATTGATTGATCAGAATTTAAATTTCACCTTATTACACAAGTAATTGGCTATCAGGACTCAGTAGATGGTTGGAAGCAAACGGCACTGGATTCGAATCCTAGAGTAAACATCAACTCTAAGATGCAGAAACATCCAGTTGATGAGTCCTAAATAGGAAGAAAATCACATCGTGGATTCCACTACTAGCCACTATTTATCTTTGCTTATAATGCTTGCGTATTACGGTTATGTCGACTCAACACGCACAGTATGCACATATTTAATTAATTAAATTTAATTAAACACATAAATATTGGTACGAGGGGGTATCAGATACATATGCGACACACAGATCAAATGAGATTTGTGTGAGCGCTGTGATACTGCCCAGGTGCAAAAAATGAAGCACGAGGTTTTCTTAGGAGGCCACGCCTGGAGCCCTTGACCTAAAGATCTGGTCCACAAGACAGTGAAGCATTGTGAGGAGATGTAATCCCATGGTAGCCGGTAACAAACGATTGATTCATACGCTATTTGTTCCTTCAGGACATTGGAGCCTATGTAGAGCATTGGTTTGGAATGAGGGTTTCCCAACTCCTCTAGGTGGACGTGCCGTGTCCACCAATCCGGTTAAAGCACCGGAAATTAACTTTTCGTCTTCTCAATTTCGTGAAGAACACACCCGTCACGAGAAGGCAATGCACATATACCAATAAGAGAATGATCAGTTACAGTCCTTAACATCAATGTGAAGATTCAAACAAACAATACTAAGTTCATTGAGCAGATTGTTTAAAATGTTAATAATTTTATAATTGTAATATTTTAATGGTTGGAAAATTGAATTTCGAATGTTTCGTGGCTTGGTATAAGTTGTTTCTTTAGAGAATACATTCTCGGTTTGTTTGAAATGATCATATTTCGGTATTTACTAACACCAGTTAAAATTTATCTATGAGAAATATTTGAAATCTTCAAGGAATTAATGTTTCTCAAATATGAGGTTCAAATCCTTATTACTGGATTATACTCCTTGAATAATATCTTCAAACCGTAATCTTTCGGATTACTGCTTATACTTTTAGTACTTCTGTAATGAACAGAACACGACTGGGGACAATCGAATGTATTTAAGCAAAAATTACAGACTATCTCAGTAAATTCCGATAACCAAACAATGAACAGTCAATTTGCAAAATAACAACCAATTGTTTCAATCTTCACTGTTTCTTCTCTTATTCCATTGCTCATGCATTTCCAGACGATTGCACTTCATTTCAGTTTCTTTCTGCCAAAATACATTCTACGTCTGACCCACACCATATTCTACTTATATAGATATAAGTAGACCACACCACACTTCTACCACTATGAGATTTGAATCGATAACTACTTCTCTGTATTAATGTGGTATGGCAACTCGAACTGATGTACGTACGTATGTACGAAGTTCTATGTTGTGACTAACTAATTGATTGACTATCATAGTTATTCAGTCAGTCAGCTACAACATAGGACCAGGTATATTTATACATCGGTCCAAGTTGCCATACCTCATCAGTACAACAACTATCATAATTAGAAATTTTACTATTTAGCTTAATCTCAATCTAATCAACTGTAGTAAGTTTATAGTGAAAAAAACTAGAGGTATGTGAAAATATTGATTATGGCTTATTAATTAGGCATAGAGTGCTTACAGAACTAAGCTACATTATTAAATTTTAGTTATTTCCGCACTAGATAACATTGACCTTTTGAAGGATTTTGAAAATAGTCGTTAATTATTATGTTTCAATACTTGATTATAAAAATGAAAATTAACTAAATAATTGAATTCATATTTTAAACAGTCAGTCAGTTACAACATAGGACTAGGCACATATATGCATCAGTCCATGTTGCCATACCTCGTTAGCACAACAAGATGAACATCGGATTCATAGAAGTAGTTAATTTAGTGGTGGTGGTAGTATATAAAAGATAGGTTTATATATAAGGATATAGTGTAGGAAGGATGAACGTTATGAAGCAATTTTAATCCTAAGGTTTAAGGGAAGATAAAGAGTGTATACACCTGCACCATGTCAGTTTTTATTTATTATTATGTTATATAATATACCCTTATGGGTCAAGGTAAAATCGCAATGGTTTTCAAGTGAACCAGACACCATTCAAAATTTTACTCGGCAACCCAAACAGTACAGTTCAATCCCGTTTAACAGTAGAGACAGACACTGTTCTGACTTAACCCAAACAGTACAGCTCAATCCCGCCCTATAGGAGAACCAGAAACTATAAAGGCTTCAACGCTACAATCCGAACAGTGCAGCTCAATCCAGATAGTTAATATACGTCATGTAGTATGAGTAATCATTGAAATTATGTAACCGATGTGAGCTGTAAAATCATTATTAGTCATTTAATTAGATGAGTACGATTTTTACCATTATTATGAATAGAAAATTGATTGATCTTTTAGTCCGAATCCTGCTTTATGTCTATTTCAGTTAGTAGTATTAGTAGTATCAGTTCTTATATAACGTGTGCCTTAAAGCTAC